CCTCCCACCACTGTCCTCTCTGCAGGACACCCCACAGTCAGCCTTCTGGAAGAGCATGCCTGCTCTCTGGTTTGCTCTGTGCCCGCTGCCTGGTGGTCTGCCTGGCACACAGGCAGGACTAAGTGAACAGGAGTCTGGGAGCTGAAAAGCTCGCCATGGGGAAGAGGCTCTATGCCTGCCTCCCTGGGGGCGGGAACTGGGGGAAAGGAGACAGTTTGGGGGTTTCCATAGCGGACATGGTGGGAGCTGGACAACAGGGGCAGGTGTCAGTGTGACTAGGCAAGCCCAGTGGCCCCGGCCACCAGCCAGGGCACACTTCCATGAGCCCTTCTTCCACCTCCTTGTGTTTATCTTATGGGACTCTGCTGAAATGGAGAGAGAAGGCATTCCAGCTTCAGACCTTGCCACGTTTTTTGGTAAACACTGAAAAGCTGTTAAGTCTGAGGAACTGTGGCTTCCCCCACCTGCTCCTTAAAGCAAAACACCTTTGTAGGTGCGGTGGCCTGACCTGGCTTTTGGAAAACAGTTGTTTTCCTATAGAAGCTGCAGGAATCCTTTGGGGTGGGGGTGGGGATGGGGTTCTGCCTTTGGGGAAGGGGCTGTTTTTGAACCCTGGATCACATGCATGAGAGGCGGAGTATCTACCGGAAGCAGCCTGTGGCTTAGAGAGAGGCCATCTTCACCCCGGGTCACGGCTCTGCTTTGTGTCTCCCTGTGTCTTCCCCTCTAAGAGGAGGAGCCTGAGCACAGAGTCCGGGTCCGAGTCACCAAGCTCCGTCATGGAGGCCCCAATCGGGACCTGACTGTCCTGGAGATGAACCGGGAAAACCCACAGCTGAAACAGATCGAGGGGCTGGTGACAGAAGTGCTGGAGAGGGAGGGGCTCACGGCGGAAGGTGGGCCCTGAAGGGCGGTGCTTAGAGCTGTCGGAAGGGCTTGCCACAGGAGTGGCAGGGCTGGGTCAAGGTGGACTGGAGACCTCGCCTTGGGACCTGGAGGGCAGGGGACCCTCTAAAGCTCCCAGACTCCCCCTCCTCACTACCCATATTTCTCCTGCCAGGCAAGATTGAGATCAAAATCGTGCGACCCGGGGCTGAAGGTAAGGAGGAGGACACACGCTGGCTGACTGATGAGGACACAAGAAACCTTAAGGAGATTTTCTTCAATATCTTGGTGAGACATCCGACCCACATCCCCGGCCCCAGCACACACGCCGTCGGTTATGCCAGCCGTCGGTTATGCCAGCCGTCGGTATATTTGTTGAGCCCCATCCTCCAGTCCGAGGTGAAGCCAAGCCTCAGCTGCTGCTTGGGTGAATCCGTCGGGAGGCAGTATCCCTAGTCCCTGCCTCCCGCCTAGGTCTCAGGACCCCCCTAGATCCCACTGTGTAGGGCTTCCCTTGGCTCAACCCCTCTTTCCTCCTAGGTGCAGGGAGCCGAAGAGGCCAATAAAGAGCGCCAGCGACAGAGTGAGCTGGAGAGCAATTACCGCCGTGTGTGGGGCTCTCCTGACGGTGAGGACACAGGAGACCTGGATGAGTTTGACTTCTGAGACCACCCTGCCAGGCCCTTTAAGGATTCCTGTATCTTCCTAACAGCTCTGCCTCCTTACCCCGGACCCTGGGGCCCTGGAGGCAAGAGGGCAGATTGGAGCCCAGCCCCGAGGGTGTATGAGGGTGTGTGGGGACCCATGAGGGGGAGCTGTTGCAGCTCCAAGGAGCCTCCCCAAGGCCTCAGCTAGGCCTATGGTTCCACTCCCCAAATGTGCCCTTCTTTGCTCCTCTGGCTTTTCCTGGCCCCCAACTTCTTAGCACTTACCCACTCTACCCAGAGACTTGATGTGACCTTGTGAGGGGGGGAGGCAGGAACAGCAGGACTGCAGGTTTTCAGACTCCACGAAAGCAGATCCCCGACCCCAGCTCGCCCTACCCTACCTCGATTCCCTGTCACTGTTTGGGAGCTGTTGTCCCTCCCATGGAATCCCTACTTCCTGTCTCTGCTGTCCCCTGTGCTTCTGAGCCCAGACCATCTCTTGTCACTGAGGGAATGGGAGACCTTTCATATCACCTCAGAAAACAATCCCAGCGAGGAGGGTTGGACATGGAGCCACCCCCTCCTTCTTCAGCAATCAGGTTTCTGAATAAAAAACTGGACTGTCCAACCACCAGGCTTCACTGGGAGGGCGATCAGGCGGTAACTCAGGGGTAGGGGTCGTGGCCTTGGATCCTGCTTGCTGTCCATTCCCCAGAGAGTATCAGTGTGCCTGGGGTACACAGGAGACGACTAGGACAGCTGAACAAAGCCCTCCAGGTGGAGAGAGACGCTGTTCTCTCCTGGGTAAGATGACCAGGCACCAGCCTCCAGAGGCCTGAGGGAGACCGAGTATCAGTCTGTGTTTGGCAGTCATCTTACAAACCCGGCTCTGAAAGGCTAAGGATCTGGAGGCAAGTCCCAGAGGACCCTAAGAGCTGCGGAAAGCCAGCCACAGGAGATCTTTGGTTCCTCCTCTCATCCGTTCCTATCCCAGGGGCTCACAGATGCGAGCCCTGTACTGCCGAGTTGCACCCAGCCAGTTACTTCAATTGGGCAGAAGCAAATCTTTCCTAATCCTCTCCTTCCTTACATCCTGAAAGCCAAAATGTGTACCACAGAGACCCTCCCACACCCACCCGGGATGTCTTCCTTCCTGCAGCATACTCTAGATTCCACTTGCCAGCCAATTCCCCCTCCCCCCCCCCGGGTTATTTACCATTCCCTGGAAAACTCCACCTACACTCATGACAGGGCTGCTGCCTACATGCCATCGTCATAGTATTCTACAGGCAGACGGGCCTGGGGTTCTGCCTCTTCCTGGTGGCCAAGACAACTGTGGGTCCCTCCTCCCCCTGTGTCCTCTCCCAGCGTAGTGGCCCCTCAGGACAGTAAAGATAAAGTTTCCCTTTTGGGTCCCCAGCTGGAGACAAAAGGGACTGAACACAACATGCCCTGCCATCTCCAGAAGAGTGAAATGATTATTTCAGAAACTCACGGGGCTGACTCTTTTCACTGAATGTGGATGAGGGCCAATATCATGTTATGCTTAAATTGTTTTGAAATGTAGACAAGTCCTGCCTCCCACGGCTGTAAGTCTCTTAAAGGGATAGACACTTCAGCTGGGTGGGACTTAAGCACTAGCTTGACAGTGGCCAAGGTAGAGAGAGCACTGGGTTCAAATCAGCATCCCTTTCATGGGAGGATTCCCTAAGACCTTTTCTCTTCTAATGCTGAGCAAGCTCTGGCCTCCGGGGGGCAGTAACAACAAGGGTGTGAGTATCACAGTCATTCCTCAGGAAGGCAGTCATCTTACAAAGAAGCATCCTCTGAGCTCTGAAGGGATGCAAATGTGGAGGCAAGTCCTAGAAGATCCTAAAAGCTATGGCCAAGTTACAGGAGACACCCTTGGACTGACAAAGGAAGAGGCTGCTGCAGGAGATTTATCATCAGTGCCTCAGCACGGTGGCACTGAAACAGAAACCTGGCTTCACTGAATCCTGAACTTTCAACAATACATTCCTTTTTCCCTTCTTTTGACTTTTGGCAAAATTCCCACGAAGGTCAGTCAGCCTCAGCTCTGCCAAGGCAAACAAAAGGAGCAGAACTGCAGGTGTGTGTGTGGGGCGGGGGTGTGGGTGCAATGGAGGATGGCATCCAGAAGAGGGTGGAGATGTTTTAGGGATGCAAATCCAAGCAGAGAGGCATGGGTGCTGAGGGGCTATGTGGGTACAGAAGGAACAACAGCTTGCCCATGCCCATCGAGGGCCACCCACCCTTCCTTTTCTGCCCCAGCCTAGAGGGCTTGAAATCTTGTCATTCCCCACAAAGCTAATATCACCCATTAAAGGAAATCAAGTACTCGGCGGTAGAGTCTGCTGGCGTTCTGACCATTTTTCACTGGCTTGCGGATCCCCGGACAAGCGACTCTGCTCTGTCCAGGGTCCTTGTTTCTGCCCCATATTCTAACACCCTGAGCTTCTAAGGAGGGGTGTGAGTTTCGCTACAAGGGAGGCTGGGGATGCTGAAAGAGGATCAAGGTTGCCTCAGCTCATAGGCAGATCTTCCTTGCTATGTCCCTCCCCACCACTGCCCCCGGGTCATGCCGATATGCTAGGTAGTTACCCAGCCAGGGGCTCTGCAGAACAGCCTCCAGATGAGACCTGTTTTCGGAGGTATGACCAGATGGTGTAAGTTCACTGGCACATACATCTACAGATGAACACTTAAGAGGACACGGATGATTGGAACCAACACTATCCAAAGATGCCGGTACCACACCAATTGATTCCCCAGGGTAGACAATAGCAGGCAGGGGTCCAACCTGCTCTAGCCACTAGCCCAGTACCACCCTGGCTGTGCCTTTATCAGGCCTGGTGCTTACAGTTTCTACACCCAAAAGGCAGGGCTGACTATATGCCAAGCTGCAGTATTATGGCCCAGGCCACCATGTCCAGGTGACCATGCAACGATAAAAGCGAGCCAATGCCTGGACCATGTGAACCTCATGGCCTGCAAATGGTCGGGAAATCTTCTGCCCCTTCAGTCCTTAGTGTCCCATCTCCATCAGCTCTGACACCTAGTGATCAAAGCGAGCAAGCATCTTCCCCAGGGTCACAGCACCCACAGGAGCCCTCTCAACACTAAGAGGCCACTGGGTTCACTTGCCTAGCCACCCCACCTTCTCAGCCCTCAACTCCCAGGCCTGTCTTTTTCTCCAAACACCATGCTCCAACTCCTTCCTAGGCTCAGCATCAATTGTGCCTCTAACTTCTGCTCTCAGGTCTCCAGTGTCGCTCCTACCTCATAAACCCAGGGTGGTTGTGCAAAGCTGGAATTACCTCTGTGCCTATGGGTGCTGTCCTAGCCCCAGGAGCCAGCACCTGCTTGACCCTTTCCCGTCCCCAGTTCCCCAGCATGGAGACCGTACCCTCACCTACCTGATGAATAACAGATGGGCATCTCACCCCCTAGACAAAATCACTTGCTCTTTAATTGCTGTTAAGATTCACACCACCTGCTTTGGAGGTGAGGGGGGTAACCCCTGCCCCCTCTCTACTCCACTCCCCAATTACCTGGTCTTTTGCAAAATATTTTAGCCAGGAAAAAAAAAAAAAGACCGGAAACCACTGACACAGACGGCCCAAAGCCGAGTTGACTTAAGGGTGGCAGGGCTGGGCCAGATAAGTCCACACCACCTCCCCCTTTCTGGGGATGTGGCCAGGACCTTGAAACCCTCCTAGCCACTGCACACCCTCTCAGCCCTGGCTGGGAGGGAGCAAAGGATAGAAAAAACAGACCTGGAGCTGCTCCAGGGAGAGAGGGGCTGGACAGAAAGGACTATGGGGGAGGGGTCCCATTGTAGGGGTGCCCCCTACCCCAGATCACCACGGGCGCTGCACAGTCACAGGTACGCAGTCACGGTCACAGACACAACCCGAGAGCACCCCCACCCCACCCCACCCCTGCCCACCCCTGGCTTCCCCTACCCTGAAATGCCCTCCCCTCGCCCCTACCCACCCCATCCCCATGTTGGGGAACAAAGCAATAAATTACAAGGCCCCTCTCTAGTCCCCTCCTGTTCCAATCCTTCTCCCCCACCCCAAGATCGTAAGGGGAAGGACCCAGGCTCTCGGCTCCCCCTGGCTCTTTAGCTTCCATTCATAGTTAGGTAGAGGGGGGATATCTGATTTCCGCTCCTCATGGTCCCTTTCACGGAAAGGGTTGGGGACCCCTCCACCTCCATGGGCAGCAGGGGTCCTGCCCCTCGCTGCCCTCCCCCCTCACTGGGCAGTGAGATTAGCATGGAAGGGGTGGGGTCCCCAAATTGGTCCCAAGTCCCAGGGCTAGTCATTCCCATACTAACCCCTCCCTCTGGCGTGGCGTTGCCCCAGGAGCCAGCCTGGGTTTCGGCTCCCGCCACCAGATTGTAGAACGCAGGCAGGACTGGATTTTTTCCCTGCCCCTAGGGGGCACGAGCCAGCAAAGTCCAAGCACCTTGGAGCCCAAACAGCTGCAAGGGAGTGCCCATCTACAAACACCCAGCAGGTAGACCCAGGGCAATCCAAGTAAGGAAACTGTGTTGTAGGGGCGTGAGCTAGGGTCTCCATGCCTCGCTGGGAAGAGGGAGGTGAGTTTGTGTCTCCTGGGAGGCGTGCGGGGCTGTGCCCTCGTGGGGATAGAAAGTGCTCCCATGGGGCGGGGTGCAGACTGGAGAGGTGAGTGGGTGCATCTGTCCAACGGTCCACCCGGTGCAGTCGTGCCCGGCCCGCGCGGGGGTGGGGGGATGTGTCTCTCCCGCTGCTGGGCAACTATACCAGCGCGATCGTGGTGTCCACGCGGCCCAAGCTGGCAGCGCTGCTCCGGCGCCTCGGGCTGGGCGTGGCGGTGATGCTGGGGGTAGTGGCCGCGCTGGGCGTAGTGGCCGTACTGCCGCCCTCTCCCGGGCAGCCGTGCTGGAGGAGGATGTCTGCACACAGCTGGCTGCCGGCCTGGCGGGCGTAGAACAGAGCCGTGCGGCCCTGCGCATCGCGGGCCGCCACGTCCGCGCCGTACTGCAGGAGGCAAAGGTCGTGTGACTACGCACCATCCAAGGGACCCCCACCCACAGGCTGCCCACCCGACGTCTCCAAGCCCACCTCCAGGCTCCCTTTCCCTACCTCTCCGCTCACGTACCCACAACAGCAGCTGTGTAATGACAACGTGGGCGAGCTCGGCCGCCAAGTGCAGCGGCGAGCGGAGCTGCGGGTCCTCCACACTGGTGTCGAGCGGCCCATGTCGAGCGTGAGCCAGAAGCAGCAAAACAGCGGCCACGTCCTGGGCCTCCACAGCGGCCCACAGCTGGCGGCCCAGCGGCTCCTCCGTGGTGCCCAGAGGCGCCAGGAACAGCAGCTGCTCGTACTTGGCGCGAATCCACGACTCACGCTCCTCTCTGCAGCACCGGGGACCAAGGGAAAGAGTTATAAGGGACCTTTTATCCAGACCTCCCAGGAATTGTACACTCTCACGCCGATCCTCGATCCTTACCGCGAAGAGTCCCGCGTGGGCTTGGCACGGCCCCGAGTGTCACTCTCCCACACACGGTTAGCCGTGTCGTTGCCAATGGCCGTCAGCACCAGGGTCAGCTCCCGCGGCCAGTCGTCCAAATCCAGCGAACGCACTCGGGAAAGGTGTGTGCCCAGGTTCCGGTGGATGCCAGAACACTCGATGCAGATGAGTGCGCCCAGATTCAAACTGGCCCACGTAGGGTCTGGGACAAGATACAACAGTAAGACAGACACCTCACCATTCATCGGACTGGAGCTAACTTTATATTCTGGAACCCCACGCTCCAGTTCCCTCAGCGATGCCCTTGCACTCACTGGGGGCTCCACAGTCCACGCAGGTCGAGTTTCCCTTTGCGTTTCGGATCGCCTGGATGGCCACGGCTTCGCTTTGGCTGTCAGTGCGCAGCTGCAGAGGAGTTGAAGTTAGCGCTGGCACAGCGTACCTCTGACCCTCCCCTTCTCCCCCCAACCCTCCCTCCCACCTCTTCTAGCCTCCATCCATAGCGTCAAAACAGCTACCTTGACCTTGCTGCTCTCACAGCCCTGCAGACTGGCCAGGATCTGACTCTCGATGGCCTGAACCCAAGCATCCCGCTCCTCGAAGCTGGCTGCCTCAAAGTGCCACGTCTGACCAGTGCTGGACACGATCAGGAACTCAAAGTTTTCCTCTGGGTGGGTGGATGGGAGAGTTCAATGAGGGGCAGAGTTCAAGCAGAAGGCTTTCCCCCAAACCCTTCCTCCCTGATGTCCTTGGAGTCCCTGGGGTGGGGTTGGGGTGGGGGACAGTGGAAGGAAGGGGGAGCAGAGGGTGGGAAACAGCAGGAAGCCCGAGTACATGCAGGGAGAGGCAGGGCCCTCCACCCGTCTGCACCCCAGCTGAGCACCCCTCCCAGCTCCCACTTGTTACCTGCTTTATAAATATTTCTTAAACTACCAAAGGATTTTAGTTTCCACATTTTGCGCTTGGCTGGTTTCCCGAAGCAAAGGAGATAGAGACAGAATGAAGAGCAAACAGAGAGAGAGAGAGAGAGAGAGAGAGAGAGAGAGAGAGAGAGAGAGAGAGGGAGAGAGAGAGAGAGAGAGAGAGAGAGAGAGAGAGAGGCAAGAGAGAGAGATAGACAGAGAGAGAGAGAGAGAGGCAGATGGAGAGACAGACAGACAGTGACAGAGAGTGCCAGAGACAAAGCAGGACAGACAGATGGGGAGAGAAAGCAGAACTGAAGTCAGTGGCCCCGGAGCAGAGTGGAGCGGAAGCCAAGAGCCATGAGAATAGGCAGGTCTGGAATCCGGGTCCGAGCACCCGGAGGAGGACGCACGGGGTGGGATGGAGGGGCAGGCACTGTGACCAGAGAGAAACCTGCTTTCTGTGGGGAAGGGGTGTCAGAGTTTGTGTGAACAGTAGGAAAGGGGGCAAGAGGCTGGAATGGGGGCCCTGGGGCTCAGAAATCAGCAGAAGAGGGCTAGGGATTGTTAGGGAGGGGGACAGGCTTAGGGATCAGTGATGAAGGGCTGTAAATCTGCCATTCATAGGTGAGAATAAAAACAGGGGCTGGAGGAGTCAGTAGGGACACTGAGTTCAGGGGCTGCAGAGGATGGGGTCAGAAGTGTAGACGCGGGCAGGGACTAGGAGTCACGAAAAGAACAGGGCTAGGAATGGGGCGGACAAGAGCTGGTTGGTGTCCGTCCATCCGTTTCCACATAGTTATGTGCAGAGGTGATGAGAGTCAAGCCCTCAGCTCAGGACTTATCCTGCTCTGCAGGAGCTAGGTCAGGGGTTCGGGTACAGGGGAGGAGGGGTCCAGAGTGGGAGTGGAACTACCCACCACAGCCTCACCTTCAGCCTGCACAGCCGAGCCTTCAGTCTTAGAAGGTGTGGACAGTTTCTTCCTCCTCTGCTTCTTCACCATGGGCGAAGGCGGGGGTTCCCGACTCAGGGGACTCAGGTCTCCAGATGGGGTACAGTCTTAGGGAGGGGGACACAGTGTCTCAGTTGCCCTTCCATAGACTCCCTTATAGCTTGTATCCTGCCATGAACTAACTGGCATTTTAGGGTATCCCTCCTCAGCTGTCCCTGTCCAAGAGGCTCCCTCATCACTGCTGAGGAGGCCGGCAGGTGATTGAGCACTTAGGAGTCACATCTGTGCTCAGCTCTTAAGCCTGAAGCTCACTAGCTTGTTCCAGACCCTGAGCAAGTTAATCTCCTGAGCCTCAGTTTTTTCTTTCCTAAAATATGGATAATAATCTTGACCTGATACTTTGTTGCAAGGAGCGTTTGTTACAGTGTTACTTCCTGTCAATGTGTGTGTGTGTGTGTGTGTGTGTGTATAAAATTTATAATTTCCGAACGTTTCAAACACTGATGGCTCATTATGTGCTGGTCAAAGTCCTCAATTTGTCAATTAAACCTTAGAGCAGCGGTTCTCAACCTTCCTAATGCCACAGCTCTTTAATACTGTTCCTCACGCTGTGGTGACCCCCAACCATAAAGTATTTTTGTTGATACTTCATAACTGTAATTTTGCTACTGTCATGAATCGTAATGTAAATATCTTTGGAAATAGAGGCTGTGACCCACAGGTTAAGAACCACTGCCTTAGAAACACTTCCCCTTTTTTTCCATTTTTAAAAAAATTTATTTATTTATTTTTAATTTTTCGAGACAGGGTATCTCTGTGTAGCCCTGGCTGTCCTGGAACTCACTCTGTAGACCAGGCTGGCCTCTGCCTCCCAAGTGCTGGGATTAAAGGCGTGCGCCACCACTGGCTGGCTAGAAAAACTTCCTATAGGACAGAAGCTGAACCAGGAACAGGTTGGGTAACTTGCCCCGTGTGGTGAGCCAAACCAGGAACCTGAGCTCAGGCAGACAGATTCACCGCCATGAGACATATGAGTTTGGTGCCACTCACCCGGCAGACATCCCTGTCCCCTTGCTAAACCTCCATCTTACGTCAACCTTCCACCTCCATCCCACTTGGATCTGGAAGCCAGTAGATGAAGAGAGGTCACACTGACCGGTGCTAAGGGCACGGGCCAAATTCCGGTCTGGCTTCAACAGGTGCTTGGATGTCTGGTCTGTTGGAAGCTGCAGAGAACTGGGGCTGGGGCTGGGGCTTGGCATGGGAGTAGAGGCTTCTGTGGGAAGGAGATGGCGAAAAGCTGTCAGTGAACCTGCCCTCTCTCCTGTACCGTACCTGTCGGCCCCTACCCCACACAGCAAGTGCAGTACCAACCCCTCCATCTCCCCACTGGTCTCTTCGGTCCCTGCCTCTTTCCCTGTTCCCTTGTCATGAGCCCCACTTACCGGGGCCTTCACCCATCTGGACGGTGCTCATATCCTTGACCAACCCATTGATGCTGGCTGAGGGGCCGAAAGCAGAGATAGCCCTTGGGGGCCGCTTGCCTGGGACTTTGACCGTTGTTCGTAACAAGTCCATCTCTTTGCCGTGTGTACTGTGGATGTAATCCTGTAGAGGTACAGGGTTGGGGTGTGGGTCTCCGGTCTTTTGGAGTACTGAACATTAGGTAGTAATGTGTGATAGAGAAGAACCTTGCAAACTGATTGGGTTGGGAAGGGCATGTAAGGAGTAGAACTGTCAGACTTGGCCTGGAAACATTTCCTGAATGGCGGGCCAGGGACAGACAGGCTCACTCTTGGTACTGTCCCACCAGACTACAATGGGGGCAATGAATCTGCCTCCCCAGCATAGACAGGTGATGGACTCTAAACCTTCTTCTAAACCTAAGAGGATAGGACTAAAGCCTCCCAGAACAGATTTGAGGACTGGTCAGAGACACATAAAGAACTGAACAGACATCAGGGTTTCCCAGTGTGACCGTCTCCGCTACTCACATTAATGCTGGGGTGGTAGAGTAGAAAGCCATTGCTGGACAAGGTCACATATTTCTTCTTCCATTCTTTGTTCAAGGAATTGCCACTTCGCTTTAGCAGGAAACTCTGGGGAACAGGATGGAAGATGTGTTGGGAAAAAGTCAGCTAAGAACAGCTGCTTGGAGCCTTTCTTCAGCTCGTGAACCTTTTACCTGTTTGATGGGGATGGCTCGCCCACTCCCTGTTGTTTCTCCTCGACTGTCTAAGCTCCGCTTCTCAGAATCGCTGCCCCGACGGTTCTGGAATGATAACTGGAATTAGCCAGAGGATGGGGAAGTTATAAGATGGGTGGACAGTGAGTAGGAAGAGCCCAACAGAGAGGTCTGGAGGCTAAGGATGACCGGCAGGCAATGGGACAGAAGGAAAAGGGAGTTGGCAACAGGAAAGAAGAAAAAGGGTTAGCATGGCCAATACCGCAAAAAGGCTGGTTCGCCGCTTGGCTGCTCGGTGTAAGGACCCTGGGGTGCTCAACCCAGCCACTGCAGCTGCCTCAGCTCGGAGCTCCCGGTGTCCAACATTGGGTGAAGATGGGAGGGAAGAAGAGTAGTCGCTAGTGTGCCCCCCGTTACTAGCCTGGAGGTACATGGAGGAGTCAGCAGAGCTAACATCTGTGCCCACCAAGCTAAGTTAATATCACTGCCTACCATCACCATTACATCATTCCTCATTCCTGCTGACATCACTGCCTACCATCACCATTACATCATTCCTCATTCCTGCTGACATCACTGCCTACCATCACCATTACATCATTCCTCATTCCTGCTGACATCACTGCCTACCGTCACCATTACAGCATTCCTCATTCCTGCTGACATCACTGCCTACCATCACCATTACATCATTCCTCATTCCTGCTGATATCATACCCTCCCGTCAGTATTACATCATTACTCATTCACGCTGACATCAGCAACACAAATCTCCCCTAGCACTGTCACACTGCTTTCTAACACTGTCACACTGCTTTAAGTTTTGTGAAGTTTGACCTCCTGAGTATCGTGCCATGTATTAGTGCAGACAGCCTGAGGAGGGAAGCTGACTTTCTTAGAGACTTTGTAAGTGGTACCTCAAGCCTGGCTGATTTCCAGTTCGATGCTACTTTCTTTCTTGGTTTTGGTTTTTCAAGACAATGTTTCTCTGTGTAGCCCTGGCTGTCCTGGAGCTCACTCTATATATCAGGCTGGCCTTGAACTCAGAGACCTGCCTGCCTCTGCCTCCCAAGTGCTGAAATTAAAGGCGTGAGCCACCACTGCCCGGCCTCAATGTTACTTTCTAAGCCCACCCATTTCCTCACTTCTAATTTTGACATCAGTCTCAGACACCTCTACTCACCTGCCCAGCTACAGGAGTAGACGCAGCTGAATGGCTCGGCGAGCTGGGCAGGGACTTGCAGGCAGCCAGGAGTTGCTGCTGTTTGCGCAAGGTCACCACCTTCTGGGCCACTGAAAGGAAGGGGAATTGGAGGAGTCATGAGCAGGACAGATACCCGCGCAACCCCCTGAGAAGTACCCAAGCCAGAAAATAGCCCTGACTGCCTTGTCACCAGAGCCTCTGTGCCACCTATGCGTAGACAGATTCTCCAGCTCAGAAAGCATCTGTAAATTAATACAACTCTCCATAGGTTCCCAGACCCCTCCTCCCTCCCAGAGGCCAATTTCCTGTCACTGGGAAACACAGAACTGGATACTGGGTCTCTTGGATATCACAGGCTCTCTCGGTTTCCCGTCACGCTCACCCTCCTGGAAGACACGATCCACGTTGAGCCCGTAGGTTGCACAGGTCTCGTAGTAACTGCAACGCTTCATGTCCGTGCACAGAGCCCTGGCTCTCGCGTCACCCACCACTCGAGGAGACGTCGCGCTGATCCTGTCTAGGGGCAGGGGAGGAAGGGGGCAGGACTGGCGTTCATGATTGATTCCTTCTGCCACGTGTGTGGAGCCCAGGCTAGACCTCCTAGAGCTAGAATGTGGGAGAACATCTGTCCTCAAGTGCGCTGATAGTGTCCAAGCCTCTGTGAGTTCTGGGCCCAGCCCAAGTTAAGTTGGTCTCTGTCTCAGTATGTGTGTGTGTGTGTGTGTCTGTCTGTCTGTCTGTGTGTTTCTGTTTGTATGTATGTGTATATCTGTCACCCCCCCCCCCGTGTGTGTGTGTGTGTGTCTTTCTGTTTGTGTGTATGTGTATGTCTGTCTGTACCCCCATGCGTGTGTGTGTGTCTTTCTGTTTGTGTGTATGTCTTATGTCTCTGTCTGTCTGTCTTTCTGTCTCCCCACCCCTGTCTGCATCTGTATATGTGTCTGTTTGTCTCTCTGTATGTATGTATGTATGTGTGTTTCTGTTTATGAACATGTGTATGTCTCTCTGACCCCCTCAAAGTGTGCATGTGTCTTTCTATTTGTGTATGTTTATGTCTCTGTGTGTACGTGTGTGTTTTCAGGCAAAACTCCAGAGGTTGAGTTGGAGTTTCCTGACGATAGCTGAGACTCCCAGGTGATAAACATCCCATCTTGAACTTAAAGGACACCTGGCCCCGGAACAAGGGGAGAGTCTGATGCCTATAGATAAGAGGTGGGCTGTTCATTCTCCATCAGAAACCAGGAGGCAAGAGACAGGAGGCTGGCAGAGACCGATAGCAACAACCTAAATGCTTCCGAGTTACTGCTAGGAGAAGTCAGTCTCCTACTCACCTGGTTTCCTCAGTACTTCCTTGTTTGCAAAGAAATTTCTTTTAAACAGTGTCAGCCTGACCCAGCTGAAGGGAAAAGCTTTCTATCCACACTAGGACTTGACGTTTTCTGTGTATCCCGCGGTAGTGGTGTCAGAAACAGCAATGTGAACACAGTACGTAACAACATTTCCAGAGGGGAACAGAGATGGCCATTACAGCTGCCCTGCCCTCCCTTCTGTCCTCTCTTCTCTGCTCAGACCTTGGGAACTCTGTTTGTTCATTACTTCCTTATTTGGACATCAGGCTCCCTCTAGAGGGATGCTGGGCTGTAAATAGGCAGCAGGACACCTCCCAAATTATCAACCATGGTGGGCAGTACCGATCTACCCTCCACCCACCTCTAAACACAGGGCTTCCATGTCCTCTCCTTACCTTGGGTTCCAACCAGAGCCAGGGCCAGACCTCCTCGGCCCTCCCCACGGAGGGCGCTCAGCTGTCCGTGGAGCCGGCTCACAGCCTGGAAACTGCTCTCATCTTCCAGGCTGAAGACGAAGATCACAGCATCTGCCCAGCCTGAGAACTTGCAGGGGACGAGAAAGCAAACAGAGGTCACACAGGCCCACTCCTTCTGGGTATCATTCAGAGGGTCTCCTAGCAAGCCACGGAATGCTTGTGTCTGGTACTGACCCTAGCCAGTAATGGCCTGCTATGACCACTGTCTCCGTGCCTCACCTTGGCATCGGGTGCCCCTGCTTCCTCTCGGATCAGCACCAGATGGGTCTGACCATCCACCAGCATCTCCTTCTTATACTGCTCACCTGCCCAGAAGAAGTTTAATGGGTCAGAGGGCAGGTCACCAGACCTTCCCATGGTCCCTGAACTTTAGCTCTTGGGCCTTGAGTCCCATCATGGTACCTGCCCAGGTACTGGTCTCCCAGCCTTAGCTTACTGTGACTCCTGAAGACTTACTCTCAGTCTTCTCCAGCACCTGGTATGAACCTGTAAGGAATCTGTGGATGAGGGATGACTTCCCACTCCTGACATCACCCAGTACACCCTAAAAAGAGAGATGTGACACGGAGACAGTAGGGGTTACCAAAGGGCAGGATGCTGGGTCTGCTCACGCCAGAGAGCTACAGACCTACAGGCAGTGTCAAGCCACCAAAGAAGGATCTTCGGGGCTTCTAGTCAGCTGGGAACAGTGGGGCATGCCATGGTAAGAAATGGTCCCAGGCTGAAGCAGACCACAACCTAAGCAATGCCTATTTTGTGCCCCCTCTCTCTCTCTTGCTTAATAATACATTAAATTAAACATGTTTGTGTAGTGGGGCATAGGTCTAGGCATTAGCTGAAAGTTTTATCCAGTTCTAGGCAATAGGACACCAATAGGTTTTTTGTTTGTTTTTGTTTTTAAGCTAGAAATGAGAAGCCAGAACAAATGGAACGTGAGTAGAGAAGTTGGAGTATGTATGAAGCAGATCCCTCAATACTGCTTGGATACTAAACTCAAGAGTTCTTGGTTTCACAGAGAGGAGCGAGGGAGTTCCCGGGAGAGGTAAACCTTCTCTGCAAGCCAAGAGTCTGGGCTACCTACCAGGCGCAGTTCGGGAATTGATCGGCTCAAAGTCCATTCCTGGCTATTGACCACAGCCTCTGGAAAGGGAAAGCTAAAGTAAGAAGGGAGAGAGTCTGGCCTAGGAGGACGCTCAGCTCTCAGCCACTCTCTTTTCTGAGGGGCTCACCTAACCCTGAGGACCCTGCCTGCAGTGGCTCAGGTCTGAGTGGTCCCCAGTCCTCCCATCCCAGCCGTTCTCCCCGCAGCTGTTGCCACCACTCAGCGGTTGCTTAGCAACAGAGCTAGCAAGACAAAAATACTTCAGTTGGCATCTCCCTTAAACACATCCCCGAACGTGGGTCCTTGCCCCAGACCCGACCAGGACTTTACTAGCAATGATTTCCCTACACTACAGAGAGTAGAGGGGTCCCCCTGACATTCTTGGGGCAGATGCTAGAGGGAAGGCCTTGGTACTAGGATGGACTGGGTCTTCTCACACCTCCGTTTCACAGGAGAAGCCAGGTGAGGGTTCTCCTGCCCTTTTTCAAGGTCAGTAGTACAGGTAGTTCTAACCCCTGTCCATCGCTAAAGGGGGACAAAACTTGGGTTTTCCTCGGCCTAGACCTCCATGGCCTCCGAAAGAACCGGTAGGGTAAAGCTCCATCCCCAAGCAGAAAGAAACCACAAGCCTGGGGAGAAAAGATTCTCCTTGCGCCCGCCGGGTCCAGCCCCCGCGCCTGACACTGACCGGACGTTCCCGGGGCGCCGCAGCTGCGGCGGGAACTCGGGGATCCGGAGCCATCTGCTCCCACCCGCTCAGAAGCCAAACCCCCGGGGCCGCCCCCGCTTCCAGACCCGCCTCCCCTCCGGGGAATGTGAGCGGAACCGAGTCGTCGGTCGCACCCCCCCTCTCCCAACGCGCCTGTCTCTAACCAGTTAGAAAATAATAAGAAAGTCACCCCTCGGGAGAAGACTTAAATAAATAAGGCGACCTCCTTGTATGGCCTCCCAAGTCTCCCGGGATAAGAATTGTCTTAGCAGCAGTTCCGCCCCCTGCCTCACTCCGGGGTCAGCCCCGGGCGGGTTTCGACGCCGCTGTGGGGCGGGGGTGGGTAGTGCGGGAAGCCAGGCTTCCTATCTGCCCCCTCTCGGTTCACATTTAAATCTGCACGTTCCAGCCCCCGCTCGCTCAAGAACCGCCCAATCCACCTTCAGTGCATGGAAAAGCCACCAGCCGGCTCTCAACCCAGGAGACCTGTCCCTGGCGAGGTGCCTGCAAGGTCACTGCCACACCACCTGTGCCACTCGGGAAACTGAGGCTCCACATCCCCTGCACCTCCAAGGTCCTTCCAACACAAGCAAAGCCCCTATCGCCTTGTTTGCAGAATCCAACCATGGCTGGGATTGGGGCCTGAGGCTTCTGTGGGGGGAATTTCCTACAGTTGGCACCAAGGAGGCCATCATTTCCCGGGAAGCACAGACTCGCTCAGGAAAACACCCATCTTAGTCTCCTCGCTTCGGGACCTCTTCCTATCCTTGGCCCCATCCCTTAGTAGAGGAGCCTGGCTCCTCCATCCACCCAAGAGAAAAGCCCCCTCCTCCTTCCTTGCACAGTGTCCCCTCATCCCAAGTAAGCATCCAGGTGTCTCAGGCCCTGACCCTTCCCTACTCACTAGGGGAGGCGCGGAGCTCTGCGCCCAGCAGCTCCCTGGACCCGCTGCTGGAAGACAAGCCTTGGGGTCCGGGAAGGGGCCCGGGGCCGGGAGGCCCTCCTGTGCTCTTGGTGAAGATACCGCTGATAAACTTGAGCATCTTGCGGTCACGAGTGGACGCTCGGCCGCCCTCCCGGCCCCTTTTCAGCCCCGGAGCTGGTGGCTCCAGAGTGATAGGGGGTGCAGGCCCGAGGGGCTGCGTGGAGGCGGCAGTAACAGAAGTAGCTGGAACTGGGATTGCTGGCACCGTGAGCGGAGGAGAGCCGGCACTGGGTCCTGGGTGCAAGTCACTATTGTCCAAGGTCTTACTCTTGCCTTTCCGAGGGGACAACTTCCCTCTCGCTCCAGCCCCAGCCCCGACCCCACCAGAGGTCGTGACTGCAGCGCCCCCTCCCCCGCCGGCCGCAACGGCAGAAGCTCCAGTCCCGGCGGTGCTCTTTGACCCCTTGACCCTGGGTTTGCCCTCGCTTTCGGGCCATGACAGGCGGCTACCCGCGCCCTTGCCCCCGCCGGCTTTGGCTCCACTAGTGGTCACGGTCTTGAAAGGCTTGGGAGCTGGTGGAGGAGGCGCCACCTTGAGCCTTCGGCTACCGGTGCCAGGATGCGGGGAGGACGAGCCCGGGACGCCGCCACCCGTCCGGCCTTCAGGTTCCGGACCCCCCCAGCTCGGGCTGCTGAGTAGAGGGCGCCGGGAGGAAGGAGCGCCCCCCGGCTTGGAGTCCGGGCTCAGCCCCCCGGAGAGCTGGGGTCCCGGAGGGGCGGCCCACAGGGACAGTCGGCGACCCGGAGCCGGGGAGACCGGGCGAGCCGGACTGGCCGGAGCCGGGGACAGCGCGGGGGGCTCCGCGCCCCCGGCGCCCGCGCTGCTGGTGCTGATCCACAGCGCATCCTGCCGGTGGAAGAGACGCTCGTGCCGCTTCTTGCCGGGTTCCTCCGCGCCTCGGGGGCTGCCAGGATCTCGGGGCTCGGAGCCTCTGGCCCCGGGGGCGCCGGCCGCGGCTGCAGACGGAGAAGGCGGCGGCGGAGGTACCGACTCGAGCTTGACCAGGGTCAGCGAGATGAGGTAGGTCGTTGTCCGGCGCTGAAGCGCGCCCGCGCCCCGGCTCATGGGGCCCGGAGACCCCCGAGCTGGGGAGGGGAGGGGACTCCCCGGGTCTGCCTCAGGGGGGGCCCGGCCATGGGGCCGCCCTGCTCGCTGCCCCCAGCCCCCGGACCCCTCTGAGCCCCCGGCCCGGCTCCGCTGTCGCCGCCGCCTCCGCCGCCTCCTCTTGCGCCCCCCTCCCATCACATGGGGCGCCCCCTCCCCATGCTCCCCGCCCTGCGCCCCCACCCCCTTGGAGCCCCGGGACCTTGGTGCTGCTCCAGAGAGGCGCGCCGGATCGTGCACCCCGGTCTGGGTGGGGGCGTTGAGATGGGCGGAGAAGGGTGGGGAGGACAGTAGTGGGGGCAAATGGGGATGAAGGAAAAGAGGGTAGAAAAGGGGACAGGGGACTGGGGGAGAAGCTCGGGTGAGGGGAAGACAGGGGCGGGAATGCGGGCTCAATGGGCAGAGGCCGCGGATGCAGTGGGAAAGGGGGGTCTTGAGGGTAGGAGACTAGTGGGGCTGTCTGTGCGGGGGATTCGCAGGAGCACGGGGAGGATGCTAGGGATGGAGATATTGGAGGCGGTGGGGGAGGAAAGAAGGGAACGGGAGGGGGTAGGAACCCACGGGTCTGGGGTCTGGGAGGGGAGGGGCGTGGATCCTGGAGAAGAGTCGTGGAGGGGGGGTTCTCCCGGGATCGGCTCGGTCCGGATGCGCGTTGTGTCCGGGCGCTCCCCTCACATTGAGGAGGAGGCGGCCCGCGGGCCCCCCCACCCCATCTCTCCCCCCCCCTCACCACCAGCACCGCTGTCTGCTAGGGCGGTACAAAATCCAGGACTGGATTTCCCTTCCAAAACCTGGACTGGATTTCCTAGGACTTGGATTCACCTCCAACAACTACCTTGCCCCCTCATTTCTCACACCAAGGTTAGGGAACACGAATGTGGACCGTGACATTTAGGGACAAAGGTACAAATTGAACTATTGGCTGGACAGGTACAGAGAACAGAGCGAACTCTTTTGGTCCCCGTCAATTCTGGGTCTGAACTGGGATATCCCTTCCCAGGACCTTTTCCCTTTCCCTCCACAGGGTACCTGGGTGAGTCTCCCTTCTCATCACGCAGCTGCCTCTCCCACCCCACTCCCACCCATACTGAGTACTTGCACTGCGCCTTGAACTCATTGTCCCAAAGAGAACTTGGAAAGTGTCCCCAGGGATGGGGACAAACAAGGAACTTAGAAGGGTAGGAAGGGGGTGGGTGACTCTGGAGGGGAGAGGCTTGAGGGCTTCTGAGCCCAATCTACAGCGTGAGTCAAAGGCCCAGCTCAAGGTGGAAGAAATACATCTACCGACTGACACCCCCCCTATTCCAAAATGCATCTAGTCTCCATAGCAACCGTAGCTCCAAGAGTGCCTCCGAAGCAGCAGCGGGGATAAGCGGAGAGGAGGGACCAGTGTGTAGGATGGGTGGGAGACCAATCAGGGGATGCTGGTTAGTGAAGGCCCTACTCTCACACCTGGATACCCACCTGCGGGGGGGGGGATTTTGCTCCCTGGACACAAGGAACCCCCTTAGCTGAGCCAGCGGGAGCCAGCCTTTTAGGTGGTTTTATTCAGTGTCCTGAGGTCTATGTAGCTGGGTTCTTACAGCAGGTGTGGGGGGGGGGAGGCAGAGTGAATGGACACCATTTGTGCTGTGTCCCCACCCCTTTGGGGGGCTTTGGAGTTCAAGGCTTTGTCCTCCAGAGAGGCAGAGAAATATGAGCAGTTAAGCCCGTGCAGAAGAGAGACTGAGACCCCATGGAGGGAGGGGGGCTGGAAGGAAGAAGATCTCCTTGAAGCCTTGGAGACCCCTACCCGGGATCTGGAGAATCTCGGCGGTACTTTGATTTGGCGTCCCACCCTCCTGACGCAGCCCAGACTATAATAAGTGCTGCCGTGGGCGGCTCTTGGAGGCAGGAGCCAGCACCGTGTTCTTCGGCCTGGTAGGGGGTAAGGGTTGGGGGCTGAACCGGGATGTGGGGAGTCCTTTTGTTCTACAGAGACCCAGATCCCATTTGGAGGTCAATGGTTTCTTAGGGACTGCCCATTAAACGTCCTCAGGGCAGGAGACCCACCCTAATTTTTCATGAAGGAGACAATTTCATAAACGGGAATTGTTAGCTTTTTAGTATTTGGGGGTGGAGTGACCTCCGTTTTCCTTCATATTTAGAGTCAACAGAATTCTGTCTCAGAAAAGAACAAATTACTTAGGAAGGGCACACCTTTGCCAGGTGAGGTGGTACAGTCTTTTGAGGAAGCTGAGACAGAAGGATAGGATAGCTCAAAGTTTAAGGCCAGCCTAAGCTACACAGTGAGTCCAAGGGTAGCCTGAGATAGACAGCAGGACCCAAACTCAGACTCAGAAAACAAAAACCCATAGTGTTGTACTGGGATTGTGGAGTGGTAGAGTGTTTGCCTGGCGCGGTAGGAGGCCTGGAGGCCCTAGGTTTTATCCCCAGCAATGCACAGGACACATAAAGATACAGAGAAAGGTCTAACAGCTGCCACTACCTCCTTACCCTTCTTCCTTCTTTCTTTGTTTCCTTTTCTTTTTAGATAGCTGCTCAGTATGTAACGTAGCTGGGTCTAGGACTTGCTCTGAGTGGAGACCGCTCGAGAATCCCCAGTCCTGCTCCATTCTGGTAAACTGTGAGACTATGGTGTTAGGGTTACTGGGGTGCCCCATCACACTAGCTCTCCCCGCCCTTTCTAGGACGAAGAGAATATCTTTGCTTGATCCCAACCCCATGCTACTCCAGACAAAGGTTGAATCTAGAGTTATTGCCTTAGGCAGTTCTGTGGACCAGCTTCCCTAGGTCTCCCTTTCTTATCAGTGTGGCTATCAGGGAAGATGCAAGTATATTTCCTGTCAGAGGCTTGTGTTCAGGAGCTAAAAGAGATGCTAGTTCCAGAAGGGTAATGAGAAGACAGAGGTGTGGAAACTGTCCCACTAAAAACCTAAACCAACCAAGCCTGCCCCCAAATTGTGCCCTGGTGTCAGAAGGTGTCCTGTATAGAAAGTATGTATGTATGTGTGTGTGTGTGTGTGTGTGTGTGTGTGTATGTATGTATGTATGTATGTATGCATGCATGTATTGACATTTCTTTCCCAAAGAAGTAGCTGAGAACAGAGAGGTCTGATAACTGGAATGATCAGGGTCCGATGGAGGTTGGGCTTCCTTCTCCCTGACACAATTCTCGAGCAAGGAAGCCTACTTCTGTGAGTTCTTGGGAATCCAGAAATGGACAGAATATAACAGCCCCCCAGTTTCTCAGTGCTGGGCCTCATAGATGGAGAACAGACTTGCCAGGGCCCCAGCACAGGATCCAAGGCTACAGTGGGCAGGAGGATGTGGCAGATGCTGTTGCCATGACAGCACTTCCTCCCAGTGTTGTCATCAGTTACTCTAATGGCACTAAGGAGGTAGAACGGAAGGAACCCGAGGGGAAGACAAGAAGGGGAGACAGAAGAAGAAGGGACTGAGGCAGGTCCCGGGGACCTCGCTGCACTGCGGCTGTCTAAAGTGTGGAGTTTTAAGGGTTAGTGTGTCTGGGACCTTGACATCCTTGGTGGAATATCATCTACCCTCCCCCCCGCCCCCTGCGTGTGTGTTTCTCCACAGCTGGAGAACAAGAGGTCACTGATCTTTAGTGGGTCCTGGGAATGAACACATTATCAAGTCCCAGAACCTTCTGCCCCGACAGCTTCCTGTTCTAGACTCCTCACACACGGACTCCATCTATGGAGTCTGTCTCCCCAGTGTGTATCCAGTCTCTGCTGCCAAAAAGGTCAGTTCCACGGTGACCAGTATTTTGTTCAGAGTGGGTTTTTGGAAAGAGGAATAATAATATCCCCCATGTCTTTTTCCATGTCCCCTAATGTCTTCTTCCCAGCTCTATCTTTGCAACTAGGAAGTCCATGCTTGGACAGCCAGAAATTGTGTTAAGACACAGAGCTAAGCTTTTCTGTGTCCCGTACTGGTCCCCAAAGCAGCCAAGTTAGGGACTGATGCATCTCTTACCTCGTATGCTGTTCAGTGAGGCCTGGATGCCAGCTCGGAGTTCAGGGTCACCCACTCTCTCTGCCAGCTTCCTGAGTCGGCTTAGAGCTTGCTTGGTCACCTCATGTCGCCTGACTTCTGCTCTTACTGTAGCTATAGCCAACTGCCTCTGGGCATGCATGTTGCGCAGACTTGCCTTGCCAGACTACCAACCACCTCTGGCTCCAAATCCCATGACCCCACAGCCCCCAAACTTCAGAAGGCCCCTTCTGCTGTGCCCCAGGACTCCCCGACCCTGCCCGCCCTTCCGTCTGTTGGCCTCACTTCCTGACTGGTGAGCTTCAAACCCACAACCCACACTGTACTACCTCTTACACCTCCTGCCCCCTCTAGCGTTGGGCCTTCAGCTCTGACAGCCTGCCCCGGTTACCATCGCTCAGTCAGGTGAGTGGAGCAACCTTAATTGAGTGATCCCACAGCCCCAGTGGGAGGTAGCTAATTAAGATGGGCGTGGATTCTGGGAGAATGTGGCTAGTAGAATTTCAGGTAGGATCCATACGCTTGGCGATTTGCAAATTTAGCTCAGAAAAACCATAGAAATCTGTATATACTTACTTGGTCTGTCACCACAGAGGCCTGCATGTGCTGGGGAAATAGCTCAGCCATTAACGCTAAGGCTCACACTTCTAAACATCAAGAGTTTGGGCTCCAGTTATGTCTCTCTACACATTTCTAAAGGCTTCGCTTAGTCACTATACTACCTATAGTATACTGTAGCATACTACCTATAGTATACTGTAGCATACTACCTATAGTATATTGTAGCATACTACCTATAGTATACTATAGTATAGCTGTATACCTGTAGTATACAGCTACTCACTCTAACCATCTCCTGTTTAAAAGACCCGAGTAGTTATGGGGTAAATGAATTATAGGGGAGAAAATAACCTATAACCCAACACAACTATGTGCTCCAAGTTCAGTTTCTAACACAGTAATTAGCATGTGTGTAACATTTAATCATTTACAATGTACTTTCATATATATTCACAACAAGCCCAAAGGATGGGATAATTTACCACTGTTATGAAGAAGTGGAAACCATTTTGCAGAAAGGCCAATCACAGGTGAACAAAGATATTGTAATTTGAAACACACACAAGTGAGGTACGTACCACTGTTCTGCCCTCGATTTGTGACCTGAAGTAGAAGAAGAATGAGTAATTGAAGGAGAAAACAGAGATAAAGCAAGTTTGGGGTCATGGGTAATAGGTAGTTTGGCCCAATTAGTATTATTTTTGGCATCTGTATGTGTGTATGGTGTTCATAGGTGTGTATGTTCCTATGTGTTCTGGTTTCATTTCTCTTACTGTGATACAATACTCTGTCAAAAAAGCAACTTAGTCAAGAAGGGGTTGCTTCAGCTTACAATTATCAGTTATAGTCAAGTCAGGAACTTCAAACATTAGGTCACATTGCATCCATAATCAAGAGCAGAGAGAACTGAATGTATATATGCATATATGCTCTTACACAGTTCGTGACTTCCTGCCTAGGGAGTGGGGCCACCCACAGTGGACTGGTGCTTCCCATATCAATTCATTAAGACGGGCCCACAACCCAACCCACTGTAGACAAAATCCTTCACTAAGACCCTCTTCCCAAATGATTCTAAACTGTGTCAAGACAGTTAAAACTACCGTTCACAGGATGTGCGCATGGGTGGATGTGTACATGGGTGGGTGTGTACATGTCTGCCTTTGTGTGGGTTAGTCCAAAGGTGACGTTGCTTGTCTTCCTCGATTGCTCTCCAAATTATTTATCGAGGCAGAGTTTCTCAGCAACCCCAGAGCTTGCTCACAGGTTAAACTAGCCAACTTGCAGTGAAGACCCCCTGTCTCCACCCTCAGTGCTAGAGTTACAGGCAGCAGTCACATCTACTTGGCTCTTCTGTACACTCTGGGATCTGACCTCTGGTCCTCAAGCTGGACAACAGGTACTTTAGCCACTGAGCTATCTCCTAAGTATTTTGTTTCAACCGAATCTGTCTGGAGATACCAAATTATTTTCTTATGTATATCTTCTTTAGAAAACTATTTTAGCCGGGCAGTGGTGGCGCACGCCTTTAATCCCAGCACTTGGGAGGCAGAGGCAGGCGGATTTCTGAGTTCAAGGCCAGTCTGGTCTACAGAGTGAATTATTTCAGGACAGCCAGGGCTATTCAGAGAAACCCTGTCTCGAAAAACCAAAAACAAAAAAACAACAACAACAACAACAAAAAAAGACAAAAAACCAAAACAAAACAATTTTAGAAGTATTTATTTTATTTTTATTTTTTGTTTGTTTGTTTGTGGGTTATTTTTTTTTTAGTTTTTTTGTTTTTTGTTTTTTTTAGTTTTTTGAGACAGCTCTGGCTGTCCTGGAACTCACTCTGTAGACCAAGCTGGCCTCAAAATCACACTGCCTCTGCATCTAGAGTAATGGGACTGAAGGCTTGTGGCACCGCTGCTTGGCCAATATTTAGTTTATTTAAAATTTATTTTGTTTTGGGCTGGAGAAATGGCTCAGTGGTTAAAAGCACTGGCTGCTCTTCCAGAGATACTGAGTTCAACTCCCAGAAACCACATGATAGCTCACAACCATCTACCTATACTGGGGTCTGATGCCCTCTTCTGGCATGCAGGTGTACATGCAGATAGAGCACTCATAAACATAAAATAAATAAATCTTTTAAAAAATGTATTTTATTTTATGTGAGTGTTTCGCCTACACATATGTATTGTGTCATGTGTCATGTGTGTGCCTGGGGCCTGCACAGGTAAGAGGAAGGTATCAGGTCCCTTGGAACTGGAGCTATGGAGGGTTGGTTATGAGTCACCATTTAGGTGCTGGAAACTGAACTCAAGTGTCCTTCATCTTGGAGCTGACTCTAGACCCTTAAGAATATCTTCTTGAGGGTGATATATGAAGGATAACTTTGAACATTTTTTTATTTGACGATAAAGGGGTGATGTTTGGATTACTTACTGAACTCCATAAAAATAGACTAAACAGTAATAACTGAGCGTTGCTAGGTGCTGGGCACCGATTCAAACAAGCCTCTTGTATATTCTAACTCATTTAGTCCTCATGACAATCCAGAAGTTGTTAGAGAAGTATTGCTAGGGGTGGATGAATGGCAGTCTATTCCCCTTTTACAGATGAAGAAGGAGATACAGGGGGTTTAAGTACCTGGCCCGTACAGATGGTGAGTCACAAAGTTAAAACCTGTGCAGTTTGACTCCAGCACAGACTGTCGGGAGTCACCGGATGTGAGCACACATGGACTCACATCACTGTGTGGAGTTGACGGGAACATTCTCTGGTTTCATTCCCACCAAGGCTGCTTCTTTGCCCAGGAGAAAGAGAAAGGTTGTGTTGTTTGTCACTCCGTGGAAGGGCACTATGTCCAAAGGCTTGCACAATAACGTTAATGATCAGCCACCCCACTATTCCCCCTCTGGAGTGAAAGTATGGAGGCTTGGGGCTGGAGAGATGGCTCAACGGTCAAGAGCACTCACTGGCTGTTCTTCCAGAGGACTTGGGTTCAATTCCCAGCACCCACATGGCAGCTTACAACTGTTTGTAACTCAGTTCCTGGGGTAGGACACCCTCACACAGAGGCACATTCGGGCAAAATCGCCAATGCACATAAGATAAAAATAAATAAAAATTTAAAAGGAGACAGTATGGAGGTTCTTATTTATTCATATTCCAGATTCGCCCCCACGTTGTGTCATGTGCCAGCCCTGGATCAGGCAGCTGGTGCTCTAAAGATGAAGAGCACACCAGCGTCTGGGCCTGTGGTTTTGTCACGAACGGGAATGCACCGGCCTCAAGTCACTGTTTCCACTTGAATTTCTGGCGTGATCACACTGCAGAGAACGGAATACGGGACAGAAGATGAGTACGAGTGAAATACATTTGACAGATGCATGAGGATTTGCCTGCTGTTGCTATGCCTGACTTGCATTCTTCCCAGCTGGGCTACACAGTTCATTTGGCTCCTCTTGCTGTTCTAGAGTATGATGCGCTAACAACGAAACGATGGCGTCATCGTGAGATCATCGGGAAATCGGCAGGGAAAGGTTATCTTTAGAGGTTCAGAGCCCCTTCCTCCCACCTCTACGAGCCCCGTTTTTTCTGTCCACATGAGTTCCCTGAGTATCTTCTCGGGTTCCTCCAAACTCCGTACTCAGGAATCCAAGATTTTTTAGTTAGCCTCTGGTCCCTAAAATACTCTCTAGAAACACTGGCCTCAGTTTCTTTTCTTTCTTTCTTCTTTTTTTTAAGTTTCGTCCAATGAAGAATCTAAGGGAAAGACTGGGAGGCGGGCTGGTGACGTAATGCAGATTGATAGGCATTGAAGTCCTGGATGTCCTGGATTAGCCATGAGTTTCACCAATCCAGAGGCAGGGGTGGGACGGTGCAGGCGCAGAGAATTGGTTTGGCTGCTTGGATTTAAAGCGATAGACGCTGTTGGAGTCCTACAAGACGGTCCTCAATACCCTCCCCAGAAGTCTTGGGACCATTTGGGTCCCCAGATCTGGGGAGATGGTTTGCGGCGGATTTGCCTGTTCCAAGAATGCGCTGTGCGCTCTCAACGTGGTTTATATGGTGAGGTTTTGGAAATGGGGTAATCTCCGGGGCGGAAAGAATGGGGGAGTTTCTAGGGGACTTCCGGCGTGGAGAGGGGTGTACAGGGGGTTCTGGGAAGCTTCCCAGAAACTTCCGGCGAAGAGGGAATTCCTGAGTACTTCCGTGGAAGAGGAGAGACTTCCGGTGATGAGGGGACTTGTTTGGTGGTGGGCAGGGATGGATTAAAGATCGCGGGCCTATAGTTCCAGTCTTCACTTCTGCTCCAATTTCTTCCCAAAATAGAGATGCTGGACAACGCCAAGGGTTCCATTTGTTTCTCGAGTACCTTGCCCTACTCTCTCAGCTACTCCCAGTTACTTGGGAAGCGCGCCTAGAGATGAGTAGTACTGACTGCACACTTCAAGCGTTTACCTTGTTAAGTCCACGTCCCCTGATAATAGCCTTGGGCTGTGCTGCATGCTAGTATTCTTTGGCGGATGACAGGGTCTTACTGTGTAGCGAGCTAGCACAGACTAGCCTGGAACTTTGCTGTGCTGCAGTTCCAGGTATGCGCCACCACGTCAGGCTGAATAAAGTATATTCGTTCTGTTTCTTGCAGCTTGTGGGCTTATTGCTCATTGGCGTGGCTGCCTGGGGCAAGGGCCTCGGTGTGGTGTCTAGCATTCACATCATTGGCGGAGTCATTGCTGTGGGAGTCTTCCTTCTCCTCATCGCGGTGGCGGGACTGGTGGGTGCCGTGAACCACCATCAAGTGCTGCTCTTCTTTGTATCCTGACCTAAGCGACTGGAGCCTGAAAAGGCTTTTCCTGGGCAGGGGACCTCAGACATGACTCTTTGTTCTTAACTCTGTAACTCACAGAAGTTAATGGTTTTCCCCAAACTTGATAAAAGTGCAGTTTTGGGAACAGAGAAGGGCCTTGAACTCTGCCCCCTTGCATGACACTGCAGTTAGAATTACAGTGGCGAGATTTTAAAGACAAAAACCGGGATCATACTATATAGTCCTAGCTCGGAACTCACGCTAGGCTGGCCCCCACACAGGTTTGCTGCCTGCCTCCCTGAATGAGGTGTTTTTAATGGAAACCAGATCTTTTTGCCATAACTTCTTCTCAGTATATGATCATCCTGGGTTTGGTCTTCATCTTCCAGTTTGGAATCTCTTGCTCATGTCTGGCTATTAACAGAAACAAACAGGTAATTGTAAGCCCTTTCACGTTCTTGCCTGCTTGCCCCATCTCTACACCTCTTAATGTGACCCCTTCATCCTGTCCTGCTCAAACCTACTGCTTCCAGATGTGTGCTCCCTGACATGTATGGTTAATTCCCCAAGACGCAGAGAGAACCTGAGAGAGACACTTAACATTACCGATAACTGTGCTGCAGTTTCTGTGGGATTGCCCTAGCCAGAGCAGGGAATAGGAAGCTCCTGAAACTGAGTGGGATGCAGGGAGACCAGTGTTCCTCTGTATGTGCACTCTAGGCGGATGTCATCAGTACTTCATGGTGGGTCTTGAGCAACAGTACCCGACATGAATTGGAGAGAAGTTTTGACTGCTGTGGCTTGTTCAACCTTACAACCCTGCACCTACAAGATGACACTTCCTGCAGTGCAGTAAGCTGATTAATCATTTCTGGGACATTCACGATGGCTGTTTGGATGGGGCAGGTGAACAGCTTTGCATTCTTTGTATATACTTTTGTTCCCAGATGTGCAAAACTAGGAGCTCTATGTGCCAGATGTGTGGGGAGATGTTCCTTAAACATTCGGACAAAGCCCTCAAGATCCTGGGAGGTGTTGGGCTCTTCTTTAGTTTCACAGAGGTAATGACTCCCACTCCCTCATGCACACACCTGTAAGCCTTCATCCCCATGATCCAAAAATAACCTGCCTTCTCTCCTCTTCCTGTAGATCCTTGGTGTTTGGCTAGCAATGAGATTCCGGAATCAAAAAGACCCTCGAGCCAACCCCAGTGCCTTTCTATGAGACTTTTGATCTCCTGGATAGGGTCTTTGCAACATAGGCTGGTTTCCAGCTTGCTCTGTAGCTAAGGAGGACCCTGAACTCCAGATCCTCCTGCCTCAGCCTCCTGCCGCCATTACAGGCGTCACCACACTCAGCCAACCTCTGGATCCTTCTGACTTGGCCTTGCTGTCTCCCAGCTTTTTAAACACCCCCAATTCTCAAAAACCTAGGGTGGCCACTACATACAGTGTTCTGTTTTAGAGAAGTATTTTACCTCACTCCCAAGAACTGATCAAGTGATGGCTAGAGTTGTTTGTGTTTTGATGGGAATGAGATTCCATGCGTCTGCCTACAAGGGTAACTGTTTTCCCTCCCTTCAAGACCCTTGGCTTCAAGGACAAAATCAGAACACTAAGGGAAAACCCAGGGCCTCACAGTGCTGGGCAAGTATTTCTACCAGTCAGCTGTCATCCCAGCCCCACCTACGGTCTCTGTCCAAGCAGGACCAGTGAACTTAAACTGAAGCCATTTTGACCGAATATTCAAAGGGATTTGAAAGATCCTCTGGTCCATGCGGGGAACTTGCTTTCATGTGGTTTTTGTCAAACCTCCCAGTGGCAAAGCCAATCAGAAAAACATTAAAGAAAAATAAAGACCATACTTCTTTGTCTTGTTTTGTTTTCCTGTATAAAAAAGATCCCAATATAAATTGGAGGGAAGAAGACAGATACGCCTGCCCTTTAGTGTAGAGGAATGGGAGGGTAGGGGGGGTAAACCTCATCAGGAGAGGTGGGGAATTGTCATTTAAGGCTTAAAATATTCTCTGTAAAAAACTGGAGGACTCTCCACAGCCTCAGGGGAAGGCAGAGGCTGCTGCTTGAGCGAGGTTCTCTCCACGGAAACTTCGAAGGACAGTCCCTCTTCTCACTCCGGGTCACTTTCCTCCTTGTGCAGGTAGGAGTGCTGCAGGGCTCGGAAGGCAGAGATTCGTTTATGTGGGTTAAAGGTCAGCATTTCCTGAAGGGAGAGGGAAAGGTCAGAAAACAGAGGACGAGCCGATGCCCACCCAACATGGCTGGAAGAGCAGGTTTCCTTTACCCTCCTCTGGCTGGCCATTCACAACGGTGAAAACTAGTCGGTCCATAACCAGATCTTAGCTCCAGGATGGTCCGGGCCCCTAACTGTTTTGTTTCATCTTTGTGTGCACATGCTCATGTGTGAAAATGTGGGCACGAACACATCAGTGTATACACGTGGAGGTCAGCAGTCTGGGCTGCCAGCCCTTGCCTTCCATCTCATTAGAGTCTGTCAGTGCTGCATTTCCAAGGGATCTGTCCATCTCACCACAAGAGGGGCACTACAGAAGCACCCAATTTCTACATGGGTTCTGGGGGATTTGAACTCAGGTCCTCATACCCATGCAAAGGAGCTCTACTCATGGAGCCAGCTCCCCGGGCAACCCTGTTTATCTTAACCCAATCCCCACTCAGGCCTAGTACCAGCAGCAGCTGCGCTCCAGCCTCCTCCATCTCTGGCACCACTGACTGCACCGGCCGAGGCCCTCTGGGGGAAAACGCTCCTCGAGGTAGAGAGACCTCTCGAGGCCAGTCGTCTTCTGGAGGCAATCCAATGAGACTGTGGGGACAGGACAACTGGTCACGGGGGGCCTCTCCCCAGCTCTTGTCTCCAGGGTACCAAAAACAGACTGAGATGAAGTTTCTTTCCTCTTCCTTATAGAATACTTACTCAAAGATTTTCCCCAACTGGTCAGCTTCAGAGTTTCCACAGAAGAGAGGCCTAAAGCAAAAAGATACTCAATGGTCTGTATTATTTCAAAGACAGGGGAGTAACTGTTAAGTGGATCAAACTAGAGAGGACAGAGATTAGGGATGGGAAGTTCCTAGATCCAGGACATTTCAGATTTGCCTACATAGTGTCTTGGTTCTAGGCAAGGTGGTCAGTATGAACTGAGTAGGTTGGGTGTCCCGCACCATATATGCACAAGAAGAATGAATGGTCAAGAACAGATACATCTATGAAAGACTTGGGAGTGGATGGAGTGGGAAGTTGAGCGGCACAGAAGCATTTGCTGAGTGTGTATGAGTTCTGATTTCAACCTCTACCACCGTAAGATAGCACCAAAAGATTTTGTGGAACTGAAGGTGGCTTAGGAGTTTCAAGTCCCACCCAGGCGGTAGTGGCACACACCTTTAGTCCCAGAGCTCTGGAGGCAGAGGCAAGTATATCTCTAAGTTTAAGGCCAGGGTGGTCTACAGGGCGAATTTCAGGACAGCCACGGCTACACAGAAAACCCTGTCCCATTAAAAACAAACAAACAATATGTTTCTAGTCCCATACTTCCGACGAAACATCTCTGCGAAGATACAGCCAACACTCCACATGTCCACAGGGGTCGCATATGTAGACTGCAGAAGAACTTCAGGAGCTCGGTACCAGAGCGTAACAACCTAAAGAGGAGAGCAGAACTGAGTGAGCGCCATCCTCACAAACCACAACTGCCTGGCTCTGAAAACTTCACGCACAGGACTCTTCAGCTGCTAGGGGAAACCACCAAGTGCTACCCCCAATCACAACCTAGTCTGGCTACCATCTTTTACTGACCACAGGCGTGAGGGCCATCTGATAGCTGTAGATTCTGGCTAGGCCAAAGTCAGCCAGCTTGACCGTCCCGTTACTTGTCACTAGAATGTTCTCTGGCTTCAGGTCCCGGTGAACAATGCAGTTTGCGTGAAGAAAATCGAGACCGCTTAGAAACTGGCGCATCAGATCCTGGATTTGAAGAAGAAAGCACAGAACACTGGCAACTATGTAGCAGGTTCAAAATCCCAGTAAAGTTCTACTGCAAGTATCAATCCACCTCCACCCATCCCCACTCACCTTAATGGTCTCCACTGGCAAGCCTGGTGGAGGTGCTTTGTCCAGGTATGTCCTTAGGTCCTGGTCTATATGCTCAAACACTAGGGTGACCTTGATATCCCGATCAGTTCGGGAAGTAGCACAGACATCCATCAGCCTGAGAAGAACAAATGTTCACCAGCTGATCAGCCCCTTTGTTTGAACTTGGCTTCTGGCATTCTAGGGTCCCGCTCCTGACTTACGGGTCCTACTGTCCTCTCCGCCCCACTCCCAATCCAACCTTCTCACCGTACAACATTGGGATGTTCAAAGGCCTCCAGCCTCCTTAACAAGGCCACCTCACGAACTGTGCTGACGGGAAGGCCCCCTCCAGCTGCTCCTCCATTAGGAACTCTCACACTCTTGAGGGCCACAAAGTGGCCACTGTGGGGATCTCGGGCTTTGTACACCGTCCCATAGGCACCGACACCAATTTCAGCCACGGGTTCATATCGAGTGGTAGCCATTCTCGGAGCAGGGGATCTACAATCACAGAAGCGTCTAACACCAAACTCTCTCTCAGAGTTAGGAGGGGATGACCCGGCAGTAACAAAGGAACTCCTGCACAAGATCTCACCAACAGCACCACCAGCATCCCACCCCTCCACACTTTCAGGGCCCGCGCCTTAGCTAACACAAAGACTGCCATCAAACCCTCCTCCGGCCACGTTTTGTCCCGGAGGAAGAAAAAGAATGCTTTCTTTTCTTTCGGAGGACATCGCGACTGGACACAAAGAAGATCACACAGTGCACAGGGTTTGCATCGAGGATTCTGCACTTCACTCTCTGAAATCACACCCTCGCCGGCGACCACAAAGGCCCCACTTCCCGCCATTGGGCCACCTTCCATAATCAGCCAGCGACGCGCACGCGTGGGGAGCTGGAGGGTGCTGGTGGTGGCCGGGACAGGCCCCCCCACCCCGTTCCTGGAAGGGGCTGCACTCACCTTACGCTCGGCCAAGAGCTGGGGAGGTGGCCCTTTATCTGGGCCCGGGAGCCGGTTCCTGCGGCGCCATACACCGGGGATCGGTCCCGGGCAGCTGGACGCTTTGGGCCAGACCATAGACACGGGCCGAGAGCTAGAGAGGCCCCCTCACCCCCACCCTCACCATGTGACCAGCTGCCAGAGAGGCGCGCGGAAACCCGGGGGGGCGGGGCGGGCGCCGGACGTTCTGGACACGTGATCCCCACCCATGCGCAGTGGGCGACGGGGAGGCTTTGATAGGAGGGGTGTGGTGGGGGAAAGGGGCGGGATTTGCCTGGCCACGTGACCTGTTGCTATCCCACGTGACCCCTCGAATTTGCTGCTGAGAAGCAGAGGTGTGGTTACGCTGTGTGGCACGTGACTGGCTGCCGTTTTCCCTCCCCCCCCCCACTGCCGAGGGGGTGTGTGGGGGCGAGAGAGGGTGGAGCACAAGGCGGTGCCATGGCAACCGGGCCAACCAGCTCTCAACTCTCGGCTCAAGGCCGAGCCTGAGCGCATCTTCAGTCTCACTACGCGTCTCTATGTGGGCGGGAGGTCGAGGCGCTAGTGGGAGATTCTGGTGCCAGCGATGGTGCTGTAACATTTCCACTCCACCGCCATGGGGGAAACATTCGTATTTGTGTCTTTCTTTTACTCATTCATTCAACAAAATTTTACTAAGTGCTTCCTTCCAAGTTGGTATGCGATGTTATTGTTTTGGTGTCTCAGTCACTCGCCCTTTGAAGTGACGATAAAGATAGCTAATATAGGCAATGGTGGTCTTATAGAACAGGGGATCTGAGGAGGAAACTAGGATTAAAAGATGGACAGGCCGGGCAGTGGTGGCGCACGCCTTTAATCCCAGCACTTGGGAGGCAGAGGCAGGCGGATTTCTGAGTTCGAGGCCAGCCTGGTCTACAGTACAGAGTGAGTTCCAGGACAGCCAGGGCTATACAGAGAAACCCTGTCTCGAAAAACCAAAAACCAAAAACCAACAAAAAAAAAAAGAAAAGAAAAAGAAAAGAAAAATTGCCTAAAATCTAGAGCTATTTTAAATTGATTTTTTGGTGCAGGGGATTGCAGTCCGTGTTTTCATATGCAGTAAGCATGGGTTCAGTCACTGAGCTATATTCCTGAACCTAAACACTAAAATCATTATTGAGACACTTTAGCTGAGGCTGGTGTCACATTAATAGCAATTTTTGTGCCATAGCCTCTAAATGCTGGTTTTATAGACAGCAACTACTTTGGCTCTTTGATCTAGTGGGTTATTTGGGTTTTTTTGTTTGTTTGTTTTTGTTTGTTTTTCCAGACAGGGTTTCTCTATATAGCCCTGGCTGTTCCGGAACTCACTCTGTAGACCAGGCTGGCCTCGAACTCAGAAATCCACCTGCCTCTGCCTCCCAAGTGCTGGGATTAAAGTTGTGTGCCACCACTGCCCGGCGGCTATGTTCTACTTTATTGTGGATTTTTGTTTTGTTTTAATGAAACAAGGTCTCATATAGCCTAGGTTGGTCTTGAAATGGACATGTAGCTAGGCTAGCTTCAAATACTTGATCCTCCTGCTCCATCTTCCAAGAACTAAGGTTAAAGGCATGCAACACACTCTTTTTTTTCTTTTCTTTCTCTCTTTTCCTCTGTCTTTTTTTTTGAGACTGGGTCTTCCCAGGTAGCCCAGGCTGACCTCAGCCTCTCCAATGTCCACACGCTTGGATTCCAGACCTGAGCCACCATACCCAGACTGAAACCATTTTGTTACCTGTTTTGCTTTGTATTCCATTTTAAC